TCCCTTCTTTATATACAGTTTAAAAGGTTAACAATTTCACATAGAAGGCGAGAGATGAGAGTTAAGAAGGGGAAAGAGTTCTTTTAATCCATTGAGCAAGTAATTCAGTTGATGGTATCTGCAGACGCTCAAAAGAACGGTTAATACAGGCACTCTGCAACGGTGGCAGAATGGATGATATGACGACGGGATTAGAAGCGGGAAGGTCCTTCACGGACAATCCTCTTAGAACATCACCAAGTTCCGTAATTTGTTCACCACTGAGACAGGGAGCCAGCCGAAAAAGGCAGAATACAACCTAAGAAGTAGTCACACAATAAGCTTGAACTTACAAGGGGAAGATGCTGCGACGAGGTGGGAAGGAGGGACACTAGCACCTCGAAAATGCGTTCACAACACACCAGGACACCCCGCTGACATGCCGAGGGTTTGTTTTTGAGAGGGGCGGCGGAAGGCCGTCGCAGGTCCAACTGAACAGTCAGTAGAATTACATCAACAGAGAGGGAACAAACTCGAAGCAGCAGCTGTAGCGCTGAATCCACCTCCTCACTCTTTGCGAGGCTATTAATCCAATTCATAAGTCTGGCCTTCAGAAGCCAACCGACCAAACCAAACCGACAACCTGAAGACTTTTTAGTATCCAGATTTGTGAATGCGTAAGCTGTGAGGATAAGGCGAAGAGATCTTGAAGTATCCAAAGGATCGTCACCCCTCATATAGCAAAAATCATCCACTAGATTGGAGACAAGGTCTCGTAGAGATGTAACCGTCGGAATTGAAGACCAGCAATAAATCTTCCGAAGGGCGGAAACAAACTCGACATCCTCTGAGACCTCAGCTTCCTTCCAGACAAGGAAATGATAGACGTTATCCAGACTGGACTTTGGAGTGGATGCAACATGGTTAAAGGCGAGAAGAAGACATGAAATTGGTGCTATATTGCATCCGTTGAAGGTGAGAAATGCAGCGAGCTGGTAAAGTAATTCACTTCGACAAGGAGGATCACACGCTAAGGAAGCAGCTTGTGCCAGGCGATAAATTTCCAACGGAGTTCGCGGACAACACCGACGCTTCTTCTTAAGACGGGGGCGAAAACGAAACCAGATAGTAAAGGCTGATACGCTCTGAGGCTTACCTATTGCCCTCAACAGGCTTGCAGCTCGAAGAAC